ACACAATTTCGGGGTCCCGTCCCGAACGGCATATACGTGTATGGAGTCAATTGGTCCCTATTCTCCGGCATAAACCTCTCGGGATCCCAGCGCTCGGGGTTTGGGTAGTATTCAGGGCTGTGATGGAGGGCATGGATGTCGAAGCTAACAGTCATTCCCTTTGGAATTGTAAGTCCAGTGTTACCTACAATAAAATTAGTTTTAAATTATATATTTAGGTATTATTACAAATAATATTTTGTTAAAACATACCTATAGTGTAATCCTCTGAAGCAATTCGATTGATAGCCGGAACGGGATTATAAAGTCTGAGTGTTTCGGCAATACATGCCTCCAAATACGGCATTTTCGAGACACTCTCGTAATCATACTTTCCGTCCAAACCATTCACTTCTTCGTACAGTTTTTGCTGACATTTCTCATTGAGCGCCAGACTATAAAACAGATACGACAACAGAGCACCGGTAGTCTCATATCCGTTCAGGAAAAATAAGAAACTATTGGCCAATATATCGATGTCTGTCAACAAAGTATTCTTTGATTTATTTGATGTCTCCGTTGACTCAGTCTTTCCATAGATATCTTCATTCAAGTCATCCCCTTCTGTCTCATTGTCTGTTAAGTACGCCAAGACCCGCAGTTAGTACTCGACTTCTATTAGAGAAACAGCGTGAAAGAGACTGAATGCAGAGCTCTGTTAGCTGAATTAGATTTTAGTTATAAAATAAATTGTCTGTAAAGTTTGTTTTATTCAAAAATATTTCAAACTAACCGCTGATGTGAAGAAATTTTCAACCGATGGGTCCAAGAATTGAAATCCCGTCCACTTTAGGAGTTTAGGAGATATACTGACTAATATAATAAACACCAAGATCCTCCACCGACTGCCGCCGCGATATACTTTATTTGCATTTACTATGAATTCACTGGTCTTGTGGTCGTTATAGACATCTATTTTGGTGCCGAAAGCACACGAAGCGATCACATCCATCGTCAGGCTTCCCATCGTTTTCTTCATCTCCACGTCTTCTCCAGTCATGGCTTTGGTCTCCAAATAGTTGTCTAATCTGTGGACACAATCAATGATAATGGGATGCATTGACCGCATCTTTCCACACGAAAACGTCGGACTTATCTATTGATTGCGTTATTATTAGTTATAATTAATTAATAGTTATTTAAATACAACTCACAATCGATCGCATAGTCTTCCACTCGTCTCCCATTAAGATAAACAGAGACTTGTCTTGGAATTGATCTCCAAATGAAAAATCAAATCTATTCATAAATACGTGAAAATCCTTTGTATTCATGGTTTTAATTATCTCCGGGTCCGAAATTCTTAGTGCAGGTTTAGTGCCCATAAATGTGCTGTATCATAATTAAATTCGTATTTATTATAATATCATGGCAAACATATTATATACTATTACATGTTAACACTTTATACACACCCATATAATTTTCCATATTTTCTATAATTGTCCAGTGACAATTCTGGCATTGGTTTTGTAAATACCTGCCATATTGTCCCTAAAATGGGAACAGGTGTTGGACCATTGATTCCCCGGGAACTCCAATATTTAAAATTTCGGGTTAAGTAACTAATAAAATTTAAGCATAATTTTGAAATTAAATATTTTTATTAATATATTTATATTTATACTTACAAATACAGTATAACCAAAACGCATACAAATGCAATCAATGAATTCAACGAGAATAAATTGTCTAGCAACATTTTTAAGCCTCAGAACTTTTTCATGTATATAAAACTTTCTAATGATTTACTTATTGAATGATTTTATATTTATATACTTTTGAAGTATGTTTACAAAAATATCTATTTTATAGCGTAAGTGTAAAACACTTCACAACCATTTTAATAGGATTCCCTATTATATACGCTAAAATACCTATCAAGGACATACTATATAACATGTTTATCATTGATAAAACTAAGTACATTAGGGGCTGTTAGCAGTTCATTATGGGCAAAAATTTTTAAACAATTAAATTGAATGTTATTAATACTTGTATATACTGTTTGAATAACTGTTAATGACATTGAAAGTATATTTGAAATTTCGTGTTAAAAACTAATTATACGAATTGAAAAATTATTTACACTTTCAAGGGCAAACAACTTTACACATTTTTTTATTAGCTATATAACTTATATAATATAATATAATATAAGTCTCACTTGTCATATAATACTATTTTGTTATTTAAAGAATATTCTTACTGTACTGTACAGTGTTATTCTTGGTAATATACTATTATCAAGTGAATACATTTTATACAGGCATTTATTTATTACCGTAACTTTATTACCAGACATAATATTATTATTTTCTTAAAAATTAATACAGTACAGCGATAATGATATATTGATACAAATTAATTTATTTATCTATATTTAATAATTGTTTAATAAATGATTGCAAATATATAAATATATAAACAAGTAGGAAAACTATTTGTGACAATATTTTTATTTCCTTATTTCTAATCCGATATGAATGTCACCGGTATTTAAGAAAAACTCAAACTTTTTAAGTTTCAGAGGAACTGTAGTATTGGATGTTGTCTTGAACTTATACTTATGAACCAACTGAGCGATCGCTGCCTTGGCCTCCATTAATGCAAACCTCATTCCCACACAATTTCGGGGTCCCGTCCCGAACGGCATATACGTGTATGGAGTCAATTGGTCCCTATTCTCCGGCATAAACCTCTCAGGATCCCAGCGCTCGGGGTTTGGGTAGTATTCAGGGCTGTGATGGATAGTATAGGCATCAAAGAAAACATTCATTCCCTTTGGGATTGTCAGTCCGGTATCACCTATTAATACATTATTTATATTCAGTATATTTAGTAATATTATACAGAATATTCTGTTACGAATTTATAATATAAAATACAAACCTAGAGTATACTCCTGAGACGCGTGTCTATTAATTATGGGAATGGGATTATAAAGTCTGAGTGTTTCGGCAATACATGCCTCCAAATACGGCATTTTGGAGACACTCTCGTAATCATACTTTCCGTCCAAACCATTCACTTCTTCGTACAGTTTTTGCTGACACT